AGGGGCACAGAGAGTGCAGGGTGCTGTGCTGTTCTCAGAGCTGCTGGAATGACTGCCAGGGTGACCCTGGCCCCTTAAGATGGGAAGGCCCCGGTGAGGGAGCTGGGGGTGAAGTCTGTGCCAAGGCTGCAGCTGTGGGGGAAGAATCTGGATGCTGCGGGGGGAGCTGAGGGTTTGGTGAGGCCAGTCAGAAGAAGGAAGGCTTTCTTTGACAAATCTGGCACCTGTTGTATAGGGCTGGATGACACCCCCGAGGCTTGATTTATCAGAAAGTGGGAGAGAGTTTAGGAAAGTAAACATTACAGACTCAGTTCTAATAAGATAGGAGCCTTGGGGGATCACAAAAGGGGTTAGAATTGGTTCTGTTAGGGAGAAGTGGGGATGGAGGCGCCACACGGAAGCAGCCAAGTTTCAGCAGGGCCTTAAGGATGGGTAGCAGTTTGCCCAGTAGAGCTAAGAAGGAAATACATTCTGGACAGAAGTACCAACATATGCCAAAGAGAGGTCCTGTTGAGCAGCTTCCAGGCAGGGGCTGGTGTGGCCAAGGAAGGGGAGGCAGGAGGCCGGTGATAAAGCGTCAGGGTTAGGTGCTGCTCCCCCGCAACCCGTGGGCTCCAAAAGACACGTGTACACCCAGGACTTGCCAGCCTCTTCTTTCCCACCCCAGGGAGCACCTCAGCCCTGCTGGATCTCTCAGGCCTGGATCTCCCGCCTGCGGGCACCACCTACCCAGCCATGCCCACCTGCCCTGGCGAGCAGGCCAGCCCCGAGCAGCCCAGTGCCTCAGTTTCCCTGCTTGACGACGAGCTCATGTCTCTGGGTGAGGAAGGGGCCAGGCCTGGAGGAGGGCGGGCTCAGCAGCAGATGGGGCATGATCCCAGGGCACACTCACAGCTAGCGGAACACCAGCACCATGTACCCCAGGTGTGAATCCTGTGGGGCACGTGGATGAGCATTAGGCCCACTTCACAACGGAGGAAACTGAGGCTCGGGGAAGTTAGGAGCCTGTGCGAGGCCACACAGCCAGAGGGTGAGGCTGGCAGCCTCTAAGCCAGCCTCAGATAGGCTAACCAGCATTCAGGCTCTGGCAGCCTGGGGGGAAACCAGGGGATTTCCCTGCAACAGGTTAGAGCCTGGAATTGGGAACTGTCTGGGCAAAAGTTCAGCAGTTTCTTCATCCACCAAGAGGAGAGGGAGGGTTCCACAGCACCCAGAGGCTCCAGAGAAACTAGCCAGAGCATGAGGGACTCGGTGATCCAAGTTGGTCCAGGGCCAGGCCTGCTGTTACTCCTGGGCAGGTTCAGGCTCACCCCGGGGAAGCAGCAAAACGGTCCCAGCTGCCCAAACAAACCACGTTTGGGTTTCAAGCTGCTCTCAGGACAGCAGCCCCATCCAAGAGCTGAGATCAGAAGAGCCTCCTCCTGAGAGCTACTGAAGGGATGAAGAGCAGAGGTGTTAGGGCCCATCAGAGGAATCCTCAGGGATGTGTTGGAAGCCAAGAGTCAGACTGTGGTCTCCTGAGCCAGTTCTGAAGCAAAACCCAGACCTGAAGGCCTTGAAGTTATGGGGGCCCGGGGTGTCCTAGGAGGGGTCTGCCTGGGTTTCAGGAGTGCTCCCTTAGGTGGTGTCCACTACTGCATTCTGTCATGTGTTAGGTGGTCCTGTCTTAGGTGACCCTGTGTTAGGTGGCCCTGCCTTAGGTGACCCTGTCTTAGGTGGTCCTGTCTTAGGTGACCCTGTCTTAGATGGTCCTGCCTTAGGTGACCCTTAGGTGGCCCTGCATTAGGTGGCCCTGCCTTAGGTGGCCCTGTCTTAGGTGGCCCTGTCTTAAGTGGCCCTGCCTTAGGTGGCCCTGTCTTAGGTGGCCCTGTCTTAGGTGGCCCTGTCTTAGGTGACCCTGTCTTAGGTGGCCCTGTCTTAGGTGACCCTGTCTTAGGTGACCCTCGCAGTCTCCACAGGCAGGCACCGTTAATAGCTCCACTGCACGGCAATGAGGAAATGGCAGCATAGAAAGGCATGGTGGAGGCCGGGTGCGGGGGCTCACGCCTGTCATCCCAGCACTTCAGGAGGCCGAAGCCGGCGGATCACGAGGTCAGGAGATCGAGACCATCCTGGCTAACATGGTGAAACCCCATCTCTACTAAAAATACAAAAAAATTAGCCGGGCGTGGTGGCGGGCACCTGTAGTACCAGTTACTCAGGAGGCTGAGGCAGGAGAATGGCATGAACCCAGGTGGCGGAGCTTGCAGTGAGCTGAGATCATGCCACTGCACTCCAGCCTGGGCGACAGAGCGAGACTCCGTCTCCAAAAAAAAAAAAAAAAAGAAGAAGAAAGGTGCGGTGGCTCACGCTTGTAATCCCAGCACTTTGGGAGGCCGAGGTGGAGGGATCACTTGAGGTCAGGAGTTTGAAACTAGCCTGGCCAACATGGTGAAACCCCATCTCTACTAAAAATACAAAATTAGGCCGGGCGTGGTGGCTCAAGCCTGTAATCCCAGCACTTTGGGAGGCCGAGACGGGCAGATCATGAGGTCAGGAGATCAAGACCATCCTGGCTAACACAGTGAAACCCCCGTCTCTACTAAAAAATACAAAAAAATTAGCCAGGTGAGGTGGCAGGTGCCTGTAGTCCCAGCTGCTCGGGAGGCTGAGGCAGGAGAATGGCGTGAACCTGGGAGGCGGAGCTTGCAGTGAGCCCAGATCGTGCCACTGCATTCCAGCCTGGGCGACAGACCAAGACTCTATCTCAAAAAAAAAAAAAAAAAAAATTAGCTGGGCGTGGTGGCACATGCCTGTACTCCCAGCTACTGGAGAGGCTGAGGCAGGAAAATTGCTTGAACTGGGAAGGCAGAGGTTACAGTGAGCTGAGATGGCGCCACTGCACTCCAGCCTGGGTGACAGAGCAAGGCTGCATCTCACCAAAAAACAGAAAAAGGCAGGCTGGGTGACTTGTGCAGAAAGGGCTCCAGGACTTGAGCTGGGCCCTGATCCTGAAGCCACACTCTGAGCTGCTGGGCTACTCTAACTCATTGTTCATAAGCAAGGAAAGGGAAGTGAGGACCCGGAGTGTGGAGGGAGAGCTGAAGGAGAAGGAGAGCTGAGGGGAAAGGAGGCCCAGTTGTGAGCTCCCTTTGTGAACCCAGCAGCCAGCATCCTCCCTGCTTACAAGCTCCATGCAGCTGCCCCCTCTTCATTCAGAGCCAAGGGTGACTGCAGGGAGAAGACCTTTACCCCGTTCTACAGAGAACAGGATAAAGGTCAAGGGACAGGAACGCTCATGCAAGATTTATCTTCTCCTGTGGAGCCAGCCCTGGGCAGCAGCTACCTGAGGGGCAGTGGGTAGGGAAGTACTGCAGGGCCACCAGCCCCCAGCCAGCAGCTGCAGCAACACCTCCACAGGAGAAGCGAGGTGCGGCCGCACTTCCTGTCCCCGCACTGCACTGGCACAGTCCTCAGTCACCAGCTTCCTTCTGGTTTCTTCTCAGAGGCAAAGCATGGGGGCACAGGAGCCAGAAGTGCCAGGGCAACCTGCAGCCTGGGCCTGGGGAATGGAGGAGGCCCTAGGGCCACACAGGGGGCTGGTCCTCACTCTTCTTCACGGCACGGGTGGGAGACAGGTTCCTGTCGTCAAGGAGGGTGTTCAGGCAGCCTTAACCTCCCCCATCTCAAGCGCGCCTCCCATCTCAGGCTCCTGAGTACTTGGGACTACAGGTATGTGCCGCCACGCCCAGTTAATTTATTTTTTGTAGACACAGGGTTTCACCTGTGTTGGCCAGGCTGGTGTTGCACTCCTGGCCTCAAGTGATCCACCCACCTCGGCTTCCAAAAATGCTGGGATGACAGGCATGACCCGCTGCACCCACCTCTTTGGTTTTGAGATGGGGGTCTCACTGTATTGCTCAGGCTGGTCTCAAACTTCTGGCCTCGACTAATCCTCCCATCTCACCTCTCAAGTAGATGGGACCAGAGGCACTGGCTAATTTTTTTTCCTTTTATTCTTTTTTTTTTCTTTTCTTTTTTTTTTTTTTTTTTTGAGACAGAGTCTCGCTCTATTGCTCAGGCTGGAGTGTAGTGGCGTGATCTCGGCTCACTGCAACCCTGCTTCCCAGGTTTGTGCCATTCTCCTGCCTCAGCCTCCCTAGTAGAGGGGACTACAGGCACCCGCCACCACACCCGGCTAAATTTTTTTTTTTTTTTTTTTGAGATGGAGTCTCGCTGTGTCACCCGGGCTGGAGTGCAGTGGCCGGATCTCAGCTCACTGCAAGCTCCGCCTCCCGGGTTTACGCCATTCTTCTGCCTCAGCCTCCCCAGTAGCTGGGACTACAGGCGCCTGCCACCTCGCCCGGCTAGTTTTTTTGTATTTTTTAGTAGAGATGGGGTTTCACCGTGTTAACCAGGATGGTCTCGATCTCCTGACCTCGTAATCCACCCGTCTCAGCCTCCCAAAGTGCTGGGATTACGGGCTTGAGTCACTGCGCCCGGCCTTTTTTTTTTTTTTTTTTAGTGGAGATGGGGTTTTACCGTGTTAGTCAGGATGGTCTCAATCTCCTGACCTCATGATCTGCCCGCCTCGGCCTCCCAAAGTGCTGGGATTACAGGTGTGAGCCACCGCGCCCGGCTATTTTCCTTTTATTCTTTAGAAGTAGAGTCTCTGCTGCCTGGGCTTATCTCAGACCCCAGCTTCGGCTTCCCAAATAGCTGCCATTACAGACATTAGCCACTGCACCTGGCTGGTGTCTGCATTTTACAGCAGAGGCTGTCACCCCCCAAGATCACACAGCCAAGTGGCAGAGTTCTGTTCAAATGCTTGTAGTCAGGCCAGGCTCTGTCCGAGTCCAGACTCTGCCACTTTCCAGCTGTGTGTTGTTGGGCAGGTTATTTACCAAGTCTGAGTCCATTTTCTTACTCCTAAAAGAGTGCTGAGAAGCTCACCCCTACCTTTGAAGGTTGTTTGAGGATTAAGTAAGACCAGCATCTGAAGGGCCTGACGCATCTAGAGCATCATCAATGTACTTTATCTCTGGCCTCTTAAGAAATGCATCTAGAAGAGACCCAACTGTCACAGCTTCCTGGTACCTTTGCCTTGCCTGTCAGGTAGCACTTTGGTTTGGACCTCACGTTTTCAGGATTTGCTAGAAACAAGATCCCTTATCTTCTCTAGGTCAGACCTGGGGTGAACTTGGCGGACAGTATTCCAGGGCAGGCAAAGGTCAGGCTGGCTGGTGACCTAATACCTCCTTCCCATCAGCAGCTAGTTCCAGGGCCATCCACAGGGCCCCCCAGCCCTCCATAGTACCAGTGAGCCTCACTGGCATGTGCCAGGGCCAACAGTGTCTTCAGCGTCACCCCCAGTCCACCCCTGTCCTCGTCTTCTTGGAGACACTGTGGCTTAGCCAGCACGGTGCCTAGCCCATGGTCATGCAGCAGGCGTCCCTCGAGTGGACCAGTGGTGGGCACAGAGCTGCTGTCTGCTTGCCTGGATGCATGAGAGGAGGAACCTCTTCTCCCTGCAGCCCAGCCCTGTTCTCTGCTGCCAGATGACAAGTGAAGATGAAAGTCCTGATGTCTGTTGTCTGTGTGCACAGTAGCTTTGGAGTGACCTGGCCAGGAAGAGGGGAAGCGTGTGTGGGGTCAGCACAAGGGGCTGCTGGGATCTTGGTTTCTAGTTCTGCTCTGCTGCTGGTTCCCTTTGAGAGTGTGAGTTTCTCCCCTCTGTGCCGAGCGTCAGAAAGGGGCAGGGAGCCCCATGCCAGCACACATGGCCCCTCGGCTGTCTAGCGTCTGCAGGGTCAGCCCAGCTCCTTCACCTCTCTCCTGCTTTCCCCTCAGGCCTCAGTGACCCCACACCCCCTTCAGGCCTGAGCCTGGATGGTACCGGATGGAACAGCTTCCAGGTAGGAGGGGACTACAAACTAGCCTGGCCTGTCCCAGTCCCAGGGTCAGGGCAGCTGGGACAAGCAGCCTGGGGAAACTGAAAGGATGGGTGGGCTCTGCTCAAGGGCCCAGGACCAGGGGGTGGCCCAGGGGCCTGGAGGCACCCACCCAGGGTAGAGGGCCTCTCCTTACCTCCAGCTGTATCTTCACCACGTCTCAGCCTTAGGGCTGCAGCCCAGCCTTTGGGATTGGGATTGAGATGGGCAATCCCTCTTCCTTTCCCTTGAGGGTGACGGAGGCCCCTGGAATATAGAACCTCAACCAGACCCAGCCACCCTGCATCATGGACACGGGTGGTCTGGGGTCCTCACCTCTGTGACTGCTTTCCCAGATGTCATTTGCAGGGAGGACACTGAGCCTCAGGGCAGGATCAGGTGATGCTGACACCTCTCTAGACAGCCCCACCCCACCTGCATCCTTTTCCCCACAGTCGTCGGATGCCACTGAGCCCCCAGCCCCTGCTCTGGCCCAGGCCCCCAGTATGGAAAGCAGACCCCCAGCGCAGACATCCCTGCCAGCAAGCAGCGGTCTGGACGACCTAGACCTCCTGGGGAAGACCCTCCTGCAGCAGTCGCTGCCCCCGGAGTCCCAACAAGTGCGGTGGTGAGGGCCCACCATGGCTGGCATGGGGTGGGGAGCACTCCTTGTTCCCACAAACCAGCAGCTTCTCCTGGGCTTGTCCAGGCCCAGCAGGGAGAGGCTCATTGCTGTCTTATTCTATAAGCAGCAGATGCCAAGCACTGCACCTGCCTCTGGAAACACAGCAGTGCCCAAGGCAGACCTGGGCCCAGCTCACAGAGCACAGTTTATGAGACCTAGGCCCACTGGCCTGGCCTCCCCTCAGGCTTTCCCAGCTCCCTTGAGAAAGGCCCAGAAGGCCAGCAGAAGGGAGGACACTGGGCTGGAGTGAGCAGGTGGGGTGCAGGGGGTAGGGAGAACGAGAGCTGCTCCTTCTAAAGGTAAGAAGACCCAAGGCCAGAGAGACAGCCACGTGTCAGGGACAGAGCCAGGAAGCCCAGCCTTTCCTGTGCCCCTGATCTCTCCATCACCAAAGAATCACTTCTTTTTCTTTTTTTGAGAGGGAGTCTCACCCTGTCCCAGGCTGGAGTGCAGTGGCATGATCTCGGCTCACTGCAACCTCCATCTCCCAAACTCAAGCGATTCTCCTCCATCAGCCTCCTGAGTAGCTGGGACCACAGGTGCGCGCTACCACGCCCAGCTAGTTTTTTGTATTTTTTATAGAGACTGGGTTTTGCCATGTTGCCCAGGCTGGTCTCAAACTCCTTAGCTCAAGTGATCTGCCCGCCTCAGCCTCCGAAAGTATTGGAATTACAGGCGTGAGCCACCACGCCTGGCCAAGAATCCCTTCTTAATGCACTGTCCCCCCATTAAGGGAGAAGCAGCAGCCAGCCCCCCGGCTCACACTCCGGGACCTGCAGAATAAGAGCAGCAGCTGCAGCTCCCCCAGCTCCAACGCCACCAGCCTTCTCCACACCATGTCCCCAGAGCCCCCCAAGCCTCCGCAGCAGCCCATACCAACCGAGCTCTCACTGGCCAGCATCACTGTGCCCCTGGAGTCCATCAAGCCCAGTGAGTAGGGCTGGGGCAGGCTGGGCTGGGCTGGGGCAGCTTGCTGCCCTGTCAGGAGCTCTGTCTGGGGAAGCTGGTGGGAAAGCAGGGCTCCCCTGGCTCTGCCACTGGCCAACCAGTGGGGAGCTCTGAACAAGGCCCTGCCCTTCCCAGGAGTTAGTTTCCTTATCCGCCCCAGAGTAATCAGAGGACTGCTGTACAAACTCCAGGCTTATACAAGCAAGAAGACCTCTAGGGAATGGACTCTGGGCCTCTCCCTCCCAGGAAGGCAGGGCTTAGGACACAGAGCGGTTTGGGGTCTCCCCCAAATTACAGAACTGAACCATGATAAAGACCCAGATCCAAGGCTGGGCTTTTCCAGCCCCGGAGCCATAGCGAGACCATGGCCCAGCCCCAGGCCCCGAGCAGACACATGAGGCCTGGTGGTCCTCAGATTGCCCTCTATGAGCTCCCTGTGACCAAAGACACTACCCCTACAGTGTCTCCCAGCAGTGGGCAGAGCTGGCCCTTTCACCAGTAGGAGAACCCTGAGCTCAGAGAAGGGGAGTGACTGCCGTGAGGTCACACAGTGTGAGCCTCACCCTCGCCCAGAGTCCCTCACCCCAGCACTCCAGGCAGCAGCCACATAGCATTGGGGGAACCTGGGCTGTGATTCGGCTCTGGGGTGGGTGTCCTGCCTTCACTATCAGACTGGGGGTTCACCTGCCCTCTCTGGGCACCGCTCTGCACCACTCTGTGCCCCTGGCTGCACTGCCGCCCATGGTCCAGGTAAGGCCCCAAGGGAGGGCTTTGCTCTTGTTGCCAGTACAGCAATCAGCTCCTGAGGTGAGCCAGGTGGGGGCTGGGGTCTGAACGAATGTGCTCCAGCTCAGCCGTCCCATCTCCCTCCCACCTTCTCCCACAGGCAGCATCCTGCCCGTGACTGTGTATGACCAGCACGGCTTCCGCGTCCTCTTCCATTTTGCCCGTGACCCACTGCCAGGGCGCTCCGACGTGCTGGTGGTGGTAGTTTCCATGCTGAGCACCGCTCCCCAGCCCATCCGCAACATCGTGTTCCAGTCAGCTGTCCCCAAGGTGACAAGCCAAACAGGGCATGCTTCTGTCCTCTCAAGGCAGGGTGACATGGAGCTGGGTGGGGAGCCACCTGTCAGGGGACAGGTCTCCCTCCCTTGTTGCGTGTTCAGGGGGTAGAAGGGACCAGAAGGACTGAACCCCAGGACCCCCGGAGGGGAGCTGGCAGGCTGGGCCTGGTTCCTCGGAGCAGGGCAAGCAGCCAGGGCTAGCTGTGCCCATCCTGCTGTCTGCCTGCAGGTTATGAAGGTGAAGCTGCAGCCACCCTCCGGCACGGAGCTGCCGGCGTTTAACCCCATAGTCCACCCCTCAGCAATCACCCAAGTCCTGCTGCTTGCCAACCCCCAGAAGGTAAGGGGCCCCGAGGCGGTGCTGCAGGGTGGAGGCGGCCACTTCTCCTCTGACCCCTCTGCCTTTGCCACCTCTTCCCCAGGAGAAGGTTCGCCTCCGCTACAAGCTCACCTTCACCATGGGCGACCAGACCTACAACGAGATGGGGGACGTGGACCAGTTCCCCGCACCCGAAACCTGGGGGAGCCTCTAGAACAGAGAGGGGCTGGGGAGAGGAAGGGGCAGAGGGACCGGTCACTGTCCAGCCTGGAGGGAGGCAGTGGTGGCCAAGGACACCCTTTGTTGCCCATGGCCATTCACCCCCAGGCCTGGTGCTTCTCCCCACACCCTTGTAGCCCTCAAGTGACTCTTCCCCCTCCTGCTCAGCCCCGCCCCTGCTGAGCCAAACCCAGTAGGAGGCTGGGCCTGGGTTTGCGCCACTGGGGTCCCCATCACCAGGACCTGGAGAGGGAGGCGCTGTGTAGCCTTGGAAGAACTTGGGGTCATGGGGAGGAAGCACAGCTGTCGGGGAAGGGCCAGGACCTCAGGCCCAGCCCCAACCCCAGCTGGGGTGGGGTCTTCCCTGCCTGTGTCTTATGCCTTATGGGAAGGCCCAGCCATAACTCGGGGGCCATGCTGGAGCTGGGGACCAGCTCAGGCCTCCTCCATAGGAACCCAGTGACTGGGGGGTGACGCCTACACCCCCAGCTGTTTGCACTCTGGTGTGTGGTTTGACTCTGCTTTTCTTCCGGATTGGCCCTATGGTCACAGCCACAGGGGACCAGGCTGGGGGAACCTCACCTGGCCCCTACTCCTCCTGGGGGTCTCCCTTTGCCATTGGGCCCCCTGAGGGACTGTGGGGGCTCAAGGGTAATGCTCAAGGCCATGGCCCCAGTGAGGGGCTGTGGGGCACCTAGAGTTCTCAGTGTGTCTCCCTCATTCATTGGCCTCTGCTGGGGCCTCCTATGGGTGTCTCACGTCTGTCTATCCATCTGTCCGTGGTCAGAAGTGGGGTCAGTGTGTGAGTGAGAGCAGGAGTATTTATGAAAATAAAACGTCGTTTTTCCTGGACCACCTGCTCTCGTGGCCCTTTGGAGGTTGCGGGAGACGGGAGGGGTTGAGTTTGGGGTCCCCAGGGCTGCCCTGTAGACCTCTCCACTTCCATCTTTGGAGGTCAGGCCGTGGGCCCCCTCCCCACCGCCCCCAGGCCCTGCACCGGAAGAGGCCCTGCAAAGGGGCCTGTGGCCAGTGCTGAGTCATCAGAGAGGGCGCTGGGCTGTGGCGGACCAGGACCGTCCCAGCTGGAAGTGGGCGACCGCCAGGGCCTGGCAGGAACCCCAGCTGCTACAGACACTGAGGGGGAGGCCCCTGGCTGCTCACAACTTCCTCCTGCTGTGCTCAGCCCTCCACACAACCTCGATGCTGCAGCACCCTGGAGGGAAGTCCAAGCCCAGCTTCTCCCTCTCCCCAGACGTCGCTCCCTTGCCCAGCACCAATCACAGTTTGTTTCAGAGCCGACCCAGGGACCCTGAGCTGGGCCCCTGCCACTCCCAGCGGCAGCTCTCCCCGACATAGTGCTATCAGAGTTTTCTCCAACCAGGAGGCTGGGGTCCAAGCTTGGGCGTGGCTTCGAGGCCACACAGCTGGGAGAGCCCTCCAGCTAGGGGGCGCAGGTCCAGGCAGATGGGCCCCGTTGTGTGGGAGGCCAGCCCTGCGTGTGGCTCTGCAGGAAAGTGTTCCCTGCTCAGATGAGTCGGGGGAGACTACCCACAGTTTCTCCTGAACTGACGAGCCCATACTAGACCCTGGGAAGTCCCTCATTTAAGAAGCCATTTTCACTTTGTCTAATCTAGTGTTTCCCAATCAGAACTTGGCCGCTGAACCCTTCTCCTTAGATATGGTTGTGACATGCTGGAGAATTGCCCAGCACACCCGTCTCCCAGCCTGTACTCTCCTTAACACTCCTCAGCAAGCAAGGGGCCCCTCTCTGCTGGGCCCACACTGGAAGTGCGGGCTGAGAGCTCTTCCATGTCCACCTTACTGCTGAGGGGACAAGAGGCATTAGCTGCGCCCCACGGGAGCCTCCTATCAATCCCTACAGTGGGACTCCCACCCTGGCACAGCCCTCCAGACAGATGTCTGGCCCCTGGAGGCTTCCAGACACCCTGTCCCAGCCACGTGGCCTCGTTCCTGTTCCCCTCCCCTACCCTGCAGGACTCACGCTTGTGATGTCTCCTGAAGATAACTCAGGTTAGAAATTTATTCTACCTGAAATGAAACCATATCGCCTGCAGCATCCACCTGGGGTGCTGGAGTCCCACCTCCAGCTCAGTCTCATTACTGGCCATGGCAGGGAGGACTACAGGTTGGCGTGGGGAACAGGTGGGACTGTGAGCTGGGAGTCTGGGGGCTGGTTCTGGCTGGGTCACTGGCTTTCTGTGTGATTTTGAGGAAGGTGCTTTCCTTTCTGGAAGAGGGGAGAGGGACTCAATGAGCTATGAGGTCCCTCTGAGGAGTCCTTGAGCAAAGGAGCCAGGCTGTTGTTCCGGGGATGGGGAGGTGGGGTCCCTTCAGCCTTTGGACCTTCTCCCTTGCCTTGTCCTTAACCCAGCCATCCTGTCAGTCATGCCAGTGTTTCCTGAGCAGCCCTTGGGCCAGCCCCTGTCCTAAGAGTTCACAAGCTGGCAAGGACTTGGGAGCTAGTGTGGCACCCTGAGAGTGAAGACATGAGGTACCACAGAAGCCCCGCATCTGTCTGAGAGTCTGGGGTGGGTTTAACCAGAGGAGAGGACCCTGGGCCTCCACTTCCCCAAATACCGTGTTGCTGCACAGAGGTCCGGGCCACTATGCCCTGCAGTCTCAGGGGCTGGGATGCAGTGCACTAGGGAGGCGTGTGCTCTGTCTCTTGAAGGGTGACCCCCAGTGCTATGCCAAGACCAGTGGGACTTCCCAGATCTCAAAGCCACACTTCCATTTCTGTTGGTTTGGCCGAGGCAGCAGTTAATTTTGGTTTTCAGCAACCGCAGCACACTCTTTGTTTATGGCAGCCAGGAGAAGTGGTAAGGGCCTGGGAGCCTGGGAGCCTGGGAGCCTGCTCCTGCCTAGTCAGTTTTTTTGTTGTTATCGTTGTTGTTTTTATAGAGTTTCGCTCTTGTTGCCCAGGCTGGAGTGCAATGGCACAATCTTGGCTCACTGCAACCTCTGCCTCCTGAGTTCAAGCGATTCTCCTGCCTCAGCCTCCCAAGTAGCTGGGATTACAGGCATGCATCACCACATCCTGCTAATTTTGTATTTTTAGTAGAGACAGGGTTTCTCCATGTTGGTCAGGCTAACTCCCGACCTAAGGTGATCCACCTGCCTTGGCCTCCCAAAGTGCTGGGATTACAGGTGTGAGCCACCACACCCGGGCCCCAGTCAGTTTTTTGGGGTTTTTTTTGTTTGTTTGAGGCAAGGTCTCTGTCACCCAGGCTGGAGGGCAGTGTTGTAAAAGCAGCTTCCTGCAGCCCTGACCTCCTGGGCTCAGGCAATCCTACCCTCTTAGCCTCCTGAGTAGCTGGGACCACAGGTGCATGCCACCACGCCCGGCTAATATTTTTATTTTTTGTATAAACGGAGTTTTCCCAGGTTGCCCGGGCTGGTCTAGAACTCCTGGGCTCAAGCGATCCACCCGCCTCAGCCTCCCAAAGTGTTGTGGTGAGCCACTGTGCCTGGTCTGCCTGGTCTCTCGACATACCCCCTCCCCCAGTCTCTTTGGGCCTCCCATCCAGGGCACTGGCCTAGCAAGGCAGGCAAGAGGAGCTCCCAGACCTAGTACGACGCTAGACCTGATGCCTGTAGCCTCCCGCCTTAAGCCTCTGAACTGCCCTGTGAAATGGGAAGTGAGGCTCAGAGAAGTCACACATCAGGGGCTGAGCCTGGGCCAACAGTCTTGAAGTGTCTACCAGGATGGAACATTGCCCCCTACCTCCCAAGTCGTCCCCCCAGCCTCTGTCGGACTGTTCTCTGGAGCTGGGCTAAGGGTACACACTCCTCCAGGGCTATCGGGATTAAAATGGAGTCCTCAGGCCTTAGGGCCACCCCAGGACTTCGTGGAAAGTCCTTTGGGCTTGGGGAAGGAGGTGAGGGAGTTTTTAGAGCCCCAGAGATCTCACTATGCCCCAGCTGCTCTGGGTGGAAGTCCACACAGAGGGCAGCACCGCGGGATGCTACAAACAGGCAATTTGTCAAAGTGTCTAAAATAGGATGTTTTTGCTCCTGCAGTCCCTGCTACCGACCCCTGCTACCACCACCACTCAGCTGCTGACCTCCCTGCCCACATCCTGCTCAAGCCTTACCAGCACACGCTACCCAGACTGTCCCGGGCTTTTGCAGACAAATCTGCACAGAGGCTGCCGGGCCCTCAAAGCAACCACAGGGGTTAAGGCGGAGCCGAGGGCCAGCATTTCTGGAGCTCCCAGGCGATGTTTCTGGGTCTGGCACAGCAGGAGAGCCCTTGTGGGCTTAGGAGACTGTCGGATCTGCTTCCTAACTTGGCCTCTACCACTTTCCCAGCTGGGGACCTTAGGCCAGGTGCCTTGGGCTATTCACCTGTAAAATGGGGACAGTGATAACAGCCTCATGGGAGGATATGCTATAGCACATGACAGAAAGTCCCATTGTCCCAAGGCAGCTAGACACACACAGGGGTCGCTGGGGCGGCAGGAATGGGGGTAAGGGGTCTTTCCATTCCTGACTTGGCAAGCTGAATAACGATGGTAACGAGAAACAGCACAAGGTACTTTATAAGCATCTTGCATCTATTAATTCACTTAATCTTTCTATGAGGTAGGTACTATTGTTTCCAATTTACTGAGGAGGATGCTGAGGCTCAGAGAGGTGAAGTGTCCCACGTAAGGTCACCCAGCTAGTGAGAGCAAGAGCCTGGCCAGCTAACCTCCTCCACACCGTTAAGCTCTGTCTGTTCCTGCTGCCTGAGCCACTGTGACAGGCACATTGTTGGACCCCAGAGGATTTAGCAGGAGCCAGCTAAGACCAGCCTGGTAGAGAACCACCCAAGTCAACAGGTCCCTGGATTGGGGAAGGGCCCCATGAGGGGTTGACTGGGGATCTCTGAGGTCCCCCTTATGTGTCCACAGTTTAGAAAGGCCATGATCCCAACACCCACTGATCAAAACTTCTGAGTCTGTAAGTCTCTGATTACAACATCCTTCTAAGGAACAGCCTGTAACTCTAACCCAACCTTTGGGGAGTCCATCCTTCTATGATTCAACATCCAAGTGTGACAAGGGAGGGCCTAAAATCTACACATCACCCAGCTAGGAGGCACAGCCGTCCCATCCGAATCCAACTCAAAGGCCCAGGGCACCTTTCCTGCCCAGGATGCTTGGGTCTGGCTGGAGGGGAGTCTGGAGACCAGGGCAGGGGTGCGGGGCAAGAGCTCAGTTAGCCTGATAATATGGCTTGGGTAGTTTCCACCACAGCTGCTGCTACAACCCACATGTACTGACCCCTCCCCAGGCCAGAGCTGGGGCTCAGGACTGGGCACATCTAGGAGAGACAGAAGTATAAGCCAAACCTTGCCTTCAAGGACCTTCGGCCAGCTAGAGAACCAGACAAGCCCAGGCCCAGTGTGGTCTGGGCTGGGGCTTGGCTGGAACAGAGTGGGGGCACCACATAGTCCAGAGACTTCCCGAGAGACAGGAAGGATGGCACCTGAGGTTCCCTTGCCATGCCACCCATAGTCACTGGCCAGCAGTCTTCCTGTTGGGAAAAGGGAGATGGGGGAGGGAACCTTGCCTGACATCTCATCCTGGCCTGAGCTTTGATCTTGGAGCCTCCCAACTTCCTACCAGGATTCCACACTCAGGTGGGCTCCCATCTGGGAGGCTCTGGCCATAGCAGGCAGCTGTTGGGTTCCATTCTCAGCTCCTCCCACCCCAATGAGGCCTGCCTCATTAGGGAAGAGAGAAGCAGCCAGTGAGTGTGCCAAGCCCAGTGCTGGGCACTGGGAGAATGGAGATGTGTGGGGCCAAGGTCCTGCCTCTGAGAGGCGCCCAGTCTGCACCGGCACACAGTAGTGGCTCTAGTCTCAAACTAAACTGAAACTAACAAAGCAAAGTGCAGAGGGTGTGGCAGGACTCTGCGGCACACCCTCCCCTCCTCCCGGGCACACCCTCCCCTCCTCCCCACCCCTGCGGCTCCTGATGCCACAGCAGTGCAGGGTAAGGAGAGCCTACTGTCTCCCAAAGGCTCTCACATTTTGTATAACCAGCAGTTATGGAGCAACTACTGTATGCCTAACTCTGTGTTGAGGGGAGGGCCAAAGAGAACTACTGAGTTTGGGGGCTGTCAGAGCAGCACCCACATCATTGCCCTACAAGAAGGAAGAGGGACTGAGGCCATTTGCCAGGAGAAATGAGAGGAGATGAGCTTCACAGATGGAGCAAACTGCCGGGAGATGTGGAGAACAGGGTGTCGGGAACTGCTCTGGGAGGGTTCCTGGTGGCTGGGGGGATGGCACACACCTCCCTTAAAAGGAGCAGGCAGGGGTGTCTTGTCCACTCTGCGGGATGGGCAGGCCCAGGACAGCTGGCCCATTAGACCATTAGAGACAAGCGAGTCTGGAGTTCCAGGGACTTGTCCACGGCCACACAGCAGCCCTTGGCCCCAGGAAGCCAAAGCTTCCAGCCAGTCATCGAGTGGTGGGGGGTTTAGTTCCAGGGGGCCAGAGGTCCTCTGCGGGAGGGAGTACAGGGCAGTATCCCTGCAAGTCCAGAGGAGCCAGGACAGGTCAGAAAGGCCCATCCCTCCTTCGCTTGGCACCCTCTTTCCCCTTTGCGAGGGATGCAAAGGTTATTTATACCCTGGGCCTGCCGGCTGCGGGTGGGGCAGGCACCCCATCTGGGGCGGGCTGCGGGCGCGGGGGCAGGAACGGGCTTACCTGCTTCCCGCCACCAGGGCTGGGCGGGGCGCTGCGGGGAGGAGGAGCGGGGCACAACCTGTGGACGGCCGCGGCCGGCGAACTCACAGCAGCGGGGGCCCGGCCGGGGGTCGCCGGGGGGCCCGGAAGCCGGGGGAGGGCGAGGAAACCAACTTGGAGAGAGGAGTGACCTGGGGGCCGGGGGCGGAGTCGTGAGCGGGGGAGGAGAGAGCCGGCAGCCAGCGAGAGCCGCGCGGCGGCCCAGGAAGCGAGAGCGCCGCCCACCCATCCGGAGCGAGAGCCGCGCCGCAGGAGAGGCAGGCTGGGCCGGGGGCTGCCCGGGCCCGCGACCCCCGCCGTGACCCCGCAGCCCCCAGCCCGCCCCCAAGATGATGAAGAGGCAGCTGCACCGCATGCGGCAGCTGGCCCAGACGGGCAGCTTGGGACGGTGAGTGTCACCCCCTTCCAGCCCCACTCTTACCCCGGCAGGACCTGAGGGGTCGTAAAAGGGTGGGGGGAGACGGGGATGGGGGAGACTGGGGACAGCTGGGCAGCCACTCTCTGAGCGGCCAGACCCTCTCTTCCTCCCTTCTGAACGCCGCCCCCGTCTCTCGGGCAGAGCTGGAGGAGCAGGGGTGGCCTCTGCGGGAAGGGATGCCCCCCCTTACTGGATTGGAGGGGGCTTCAGGCGGGAGAATGCCCTCTGCCCTAGGACACAGATTTCTCTGCCTCCACGAGTCTCTAAGTGGATGGTCCTCCTGACCTCACTTGTTCCCTCTGGACAATGGGGCAGTTCACCACCTCTGCTTGCTGGGCTCTGGAGGGAGGAGGGTCCATTAGGGCCGCAGACCTGGGGCGAGGGGAGGAGACGGGTCCTGGCCTGGCGGGAGGAGGGGCCTGCCCCTGGCCTTCAGTGTCCGTTCCCTTACCCCTCCCCCCACCTCAGGGGCCTCCTGCTTCTCTGTCTTGTTTCTGCTTTTCCCAGACTCAGGTGGAAACATCCCCAGGTCTCCCAGCTCCCACCCCCAGCCTCTGAGCCGGTGGCACGGAGGCCGGAAGTTTGGGGAGCCTCTGAGGGCCTGTCTTCTCTGCTCCTCTTCCCCTGCCTCAGGAGTTCCCCATTCTCTGGGCCCGGGGAGGGGACCGGGTGTCCAGAGACCTAGTTCTAGTCTCCCACTGGCACAGATGTCTATGTAGCCTGGGCAGTTAGGCCACCTTGCCATGGGCCTCGGCATCCCCCATGTGTCCCCAGGTGGGGTCCAGGGGCCTGTGCACCCCTGCCCACAGCTGTAGTCCAGAGTGCTGTGTGACTGAGCCTGGGACTCTGCGCTGCCGCACTTCCCGTTCTTGGAGCCAGCTAATACTCCTCATCCTGGGGTGGGCTGAGGATTTGGGAGTGGGCAGAAGAGAGGCTTCTGTGTCCCAGAGCTAGGCCCTGGGTGGGTCTCCCAGCCTCCCCTTCAGTTTCATCTGTCCGCCCTCTCTCAGGACACAGCCCTGGGTGGAGGAGGAAAAACCCATGTATCCTATTCCCACCCCATGGAATGTGCTCTGACTGGGATGAGGCAACTGGGCCACCCAGGGCAGGCCGCACCTGGGAGGGACAGTGGAAGCACTGGGGTCCAGGTGCCCTGCTGCGGGGAGGGGGAGCAGGGGGTGTTCTATCCCAGGCAGGCTCAGCAGAAGCGCTCTCCCCCCCGCAGCACCCCGGAGACCGCTGAGTTCCTGGGTGAGGACCTGCTGCAGGTACGTGCCTGGGCCGGGCGGGTGGGAAGGCAGGCCTGTGCAGGCTGTCGGAGCAGAGGGCCAGGGCGGGGATGCCAGCTAGGGGCCCGGGTTGAGTCATTCCTCAAGCTGTTGGCCATGGGGTCCCCAGGGGACAGGAGAAAGTTTCCTGCTCAGGGGGAGACAACTTTTCTTGATCCTTAACCTCCAAACCTCCTTCCCAGGTAGAACAGCGGCTGGAGCCGGCCAAGCGAGCAGCCCACAACGTCCACAAGCGGCTGCAGGCCTGTCTGCAGGGCCAGAGTGGGGCAGACATGGACAAGCGGGTGGTGAGTCGGGGGTCCTGGGAAGGAGGAGCCTGAGCAGGAGACTTCCGTCCAATGGGGAAGCAAAGTCGGGGCTGGGGTTTCCTTGCCAGTCTGAGTGGCACCAAGGGCATGGAGACTGCTCTGTTCCAAGGCCTCTCTAGCACTGCACTCAAAAGGCCCTGTACCTTCCCTGTCACCTTTACCCCACTTTCCTGTGCACCAATCCCCATAAGCCAAGGCCAGGCCTCTGCCAGCACCTGAACTTCTCTGTCCACTCAGCATGCAGAGCAGGCTCTCAATGGGGCAGCCTCAGAGGGCTTCCTGAAGGAGGTAGCAATTGAGCTGGCTTTTGAGGGATACTCATGTATTAATCAAGGGGCAGTGTTTATTGGCTGATAACTGCCAGCCTATTGCTAACATATTAGCGCATTGTCTCATGGAACACTGGCAACAACCCTAGGGAAAAGGCACTGTTTTACAGATGAGGAATTGGAGGCTTAGAGGTAAAGTCACTTGCCCAAGGTCATATAGCCAGTAAGTGGCAGAACTGAGGTTTGAACCCTGGTCTCTGATCCCAAAGCAGGCATTCTCCATAACTCCAGATGGGGTGGGAGTGTGGGGCCATGTTTTGGAATCAGTTGACAATTCAGTGTGGCCTAGGCAAGGAAATTGGGAGTCATAGGGTGTTTGAGCTCAGCAGTGGCTAGGTCAGCCACATATACCCTGGGACAGGGGAAAGAGCCCCCATTCCCAGGCCAGCTCCCCCTCCCATTCTCCCTGCACCCGTGTGACCTGGGGCAAGCTCCCTGCCCTCCCTGCATCTTAGTTTCCCAGTCTGCAGTAGGACTTGGTCATCCCTTCCTGCCCAGTCCAGTGGCTTCTGGGAAGAGGAAAAGGGTACTCCAGATGGGGAGGGGCTCCATCCATGGTCTCAGGGAAATGTCACCCCCACCACGCCTTGTCATCCTGTTTCCACTCTCATCTGGGACTGTGGCATTCCTGGGTTCCCTCCTCGCCTGCCCCCAAGGGGCTGGCCTGCTGCTCAGGCAGGGTAGAGGGAGGCAAGGACACTCACCGCCGGCCCCAACCTCCCTGCAGAAGAAGCTTCCCCTCATGGCTCTGTCCACCACGATGGCCGAGAGCTTCAAGGAGCTGGACCCTGATTCCAGCATGGGGTGAGCATAGACGGGGCCCTGCCCTCACCTGGGGCTACCAAGACGTGATCTCAGCTGGGAGGGGTCCAGGTGGTGAGGGCATCCACATCGGAAGAATGACCAGGCCGGGGACAGTGCTCAGGTCAGTGAGGGCGGCCAGGCCTGGGAGGGTGTTCGGCCTTAGCAGAGATGAAGGATATCTAGGAGGGGCCGGAATTGAAGGAGGAGAGGCCCCACCAGGTGTTTCCAGTGGAGGTGAGGGCAGCGGGCGCCTGGGCCCATGGGGTGCCGTGTCCACAGGAAGGCTCTGGAGATGAGCTGTGCCATCCAGAACCAGCTGGCCCGCATCCTGGCCGAGTTTGAGATGACCCTGGAGAGGGACGTCCTGCAGCCACTCAGCAGGCTGAGTGAGGTGAGCCTGTGCCCTGCTCCCGGCCCCCACCTTCCCTGATTGCTGGCTCCCTCCTCCCCCAGCACACTGACCCCCCATGCCCATCCTCAGGAGGAGCTGCCAGCCATCCTCAAGCACAAGAAAAGCCTCCAGAAGCTCGTGTCCGACTGGAACACACTCAAGAGCAGGTGGGAGCCCCGGCCACTCAGGGGGCTCATATCTGGGTCAGCCCACAGAGATGGTCGTAGAGCTTTGAGGCCCTGGCCACACCGGGAGGATGCTGTGGGGCCCGCTGAGTACAGTGTGTATACTTGCGCATGCCTGGTCCCTAGAAACACAGGTGGTGAGGGTATCTCTGAGGGTGTGCCCATGTGTGTCACAGCTGGTGCTGGGGCGACCCCAAAGCGTAGGACCGCCATAAACAGTCCTGCGGCTGTCCCTGTTCTCCCCTCTGCTGGGTGGCTGTGATCACCAAACCCGCCACCAGGGGGCAACCCAGCGCACTCGTAGCCCAGCCTGGGTTGAGGCCCTAGCCAGTGGAGCTCTCAGATCTGCAGCTCCAAATCCTAGAATACCATGTGGTCTGCTGTATGGAGGGGACACTTGGCTCTGGACATGCAACAGGGCAGGTGACCAGCTCCCCTTGGGATCATCCCCAGGCTCAGTCAGGCAACCAAGAATTCAGGCAGCAGTCAAGGCCTGGGAGGCGGCCCGGGCAGTCACAGCCACACGACTATGGCCAACAAGGTGGAGATGCTGAAGGAGGAGGAGGAGGAGCTGAAGAGGAAGGTGGAGCAATGCAGGGTGAGGGCCACATGGGTCTCCTGGATGTACAGGGATGGCAGGGGTGGGTCCTGGCCCCATCTCACAGGCAAGGAAGCTGAAGCTCAGAGGGGTGACATGACTTGCCTAAGGCCATGTGGCTAGGAGGCAGCAGAGCTCCGCCATTCCCTTGTACCCTCTTCTGTCTGTACCCCATGCATAACATGGGGAGGCTGAGACTTGGTCTGTTCCCTGAGTCTCCGTGTGTTTGCTGAACGAGTAAGTGAATGAATGAAGAGTGAATGAATGATTGGATGATAACAGCACTGTGCATGGCCAGGTGCGGGGTCTCACACCTGTAATCCCAGCACTTTGGGAGGCAGGCAAATCATGAGGTCAGGAGTTCAAGACCAGCCTGGCCAACGTGGTGAAACCCCATCTCTACTAAAAATACAAAAACTTAGCTGGGCGTAGTGGCGGGCACCTATAATCCCAGCTACTCGGGAGGCTGAGGCAGGAGAATTGCTTGAACCCAGGAGGCGGAGCTTGCAGTGAGCCGAGATCGCGCCACTGCACTCCAGCCCAGGCAACAGTGCGAGACTCTGTCTCAAAAAAAAAAAAAAAAAAAAACTGCACAAAAAAACAAACAAAACAGGGCACTGTGCTAAGGCTATGGGGACACAGAGATGGGGACGAGAAGCCAGAAAAGTTTGAGGGAGTTCCCATGGGCTGGCCCCAAGCACCAACCTTGGCAGAAGAGAGGAGCCTGGCTGGGACTTCCACCTACAGTTGTGTGGCCTGGGGCAGGTCACCAACCCCTCCAAGCCTCCTCTTTCCCTCTAGACCCCCTGCCTCACCCAATGTAAGCTCTCCCCTCTCTGTCCCCAAGGATGAGTACTTGGCTGACCTGTACCACTTTGTTACCAAGGAGGACTCCTATGCCAACTATTTCATTCATGTGAGTCCAAGACCAGGCCCCATCCGTCCAGAGCTCGGGGCTGAATGCCACAGCCAGGGGCCAGTGGGGCTCTGTGCGATGGTGGAGGGGGTGTCTGCTCTCAAGGACCCTAGAGAAGGCTCAGCTTCCCTCACTTCCGCTCAGGGTGTCCCTTCGTCCCCACAGCTCCTGGAGATTCAAGCTGATTACCATCGCAGGTCACTGAGCTCTCTGGACACAGCCCTGGCTGAGCTGAGGGAGAACCATGGCCAAGCAGGTGGGGACATAGGCCTGGCGATACCACACCCCTGACCCCGCCCTGCTCGGGGCTTATTGAGAAGCTTGCACTTCATCCTGAAAGGCAGCAGAAAGCTGTGGCTGGGTTCCGAGAGCTGGGTTTAATCTTTGACGGAGAGGCTGCTCTGGCTGCCATGTGGAGGGTGGAGTGAAGGGGGCAGGACTAGAGCCAGGCCTGTGAGGCAGAAGGAGGCAACAGTAGCCTAGACTAGGACAGAGGCAGTGGAGGCGGGCCGATTTGAGAGATGTGATGGATGATTTCAGATGTGGGCCTGGACAGTCGGTGGCAGGTGGTACCACCTTGAGGACATCAGGGGGGTGCCCCTGCCTGACTGCTTGGGTGGAAAGGCCCTGGGCCGCTGATCTGTTTCATCCCTGCAGACCACTCCCCGTCGATGGCAGCCACCCACTTCTCCAGGGTGTATGGGGTGTCGCTGGCAACCCACCTGCATGAGCTGGGCCGGGAGATTGCCCTGCCCATTGAGGCCTGCGTCATGATGCTGCTTTCTGAGGGCATGAAGGAAGAGGTGGGGCCCCCTGGGCCAGGTGGGGAAGGAGCACTGGGGCCCTCATTCTGTCCCAAACCCCCCACATGCTGTCCTGTCGTGGTGCCTGAAATTCCCTCATTTGAGCCCGGTTCCCTGGGAGAAGACATAGTCACCTCCTGCGGCATCCACACTACCTCCCGCGTGTCGATGCTCGCGTGGGCCGGGCGCTGTGCTAGAAGCCTTTGCATTCCTGGCTCCATTTCACAAGAGGGAGACAGAGGTAACCATGCCCAGAGTCATATGAGAAGGTGACTTCTCAAACCAGGGGCTCCACTGCCACACACTGGCTGGATCTGCTGTGAATACATTGCCCCCCTGTCCTAAAGACAGACCCTGGAGGTGGCAGATACCCCAAATTAGTTTTGAGCTACTCTGCAATTCTGCTGGGGCCTCCTTTCTCCCTTACACTTCTTTTTTTTTTTTTTTTTTTTGAGTTACGGGGTCTTATTCTGTTACCCAGGCTGCAGTGCGGCAGCGTGATCTCGGCTCACTACAACCTCCACCTCCTGGGTTCAAGTGATTCTCCTGCCTCAACTTCACAAGTAGCTGGGACTGCAGGCGTGCGCCAACACGCCCAGCTAATTTTTGTATTTTTTAATCGAGATGAGAGTATGTTGGCCAGGCTGGTCTTGAACTCCTAACCTCAGGTGATCCACCTGCCTCGGCCTCCCAGAGCGCTGGGGTTACAGGCATAAACCACTGTGCCCGGCCTTTTTTTTTTTTTTGAGACAAGATCTCGCTGTCACCCAGGCTGTAGTGCAGTGGTGTGCTCCTGGCTCACTGCAGCCTCTACCTCCCAAGTTCAAGCAATTCTTGTTTCTCAGTCTCCCAAGTAGCTGGGATTACAGATGCCCACCACCATGCACAGCTAATTTTTTTTATTTTAGTAGAGATGGGGTTTTACCATGTTGTCCAGGCTGGTCTCGAACCCCTGGCCTCAAGTGATCCACCTGCATGGGCCTCCCAAAGTGCTGCGATTACGGGCATGAGCCACCGCGCCCGGCCCCTCCCTTCCACTTCTGACTGGGCTCCCATTTCCCCATGATTTTTCCCACCTCCTCCCAGACTTCCCAGCCCCGCCCTTTGCTCAGAATTCTACACCTTAAAGGCTGAGGCCTGTGGACACCATGGTGCCCACACTGCCGGCCAGACCAGTGGGGACACAGGCCTAGCGAGGGCCAGTGACACACCCCAGGCTACAAGGCCCCTGGGTATCCTGCCCTGCCCACCCCTCTGTGACCCTTGCCTGCCCCCTCTTGAACCCAGGGTCTCTTCCGTCTGGCTGCTGGGGCCTCAGTGCTGAAGCGTCTCAAGCAGACGATGGCCTCGGACCCCCACAGCCTGGAGGAGTTCTGCTCCGACCCACACGCCGTGGCAGGTGCCTGATCCGGGGAGCCCTGGGCAGGAGGTTGGGGGGAAAGGGTGCAGTGGCTTGAAGTGATCCCAGGATAGCCTGGCTTCAAGACTTGATATTCCGTTGAGGAGACTGAGGACGCTCAGGGGTTCTTAATGTGGGATCCATCATGAGCCCCCCGAAATGTTTGTACATTTTTCTGGGGAAAAGATGACTAGCCTTCATTTTCTCAAAAGGGCCTGCACCCCAAAGAAACTGTCAGACCTAGACACGTTAGTGTGAACAAGGGCCGGAGGTTCCTTCTACAGGGAAAGTGGGCGAGCGGGGTGGGGGCTGCCTCTGACCCTCCCCACACTCCTGCTTCAGGTGCCCTCAAGTCCTATCTGCGGGAGCTGCCAGAGCCCCTGATGACCTTCGACCTCTATGACGACTGGATGAGGGCAGCCAGGTGAGGATGTTGGAGGAGGGAGGGGATGGGGAGGAGGAGGATGCAAAGGAGTAGCCCTGTGCTGGCTGACAGGTTTCTCCACTCCCCCCACAGCCTGAAGGAGCCAGGGGCCCGGCTGCAGGCCCTCCAAGAAGTGTGCAGCCGCCTGCCCCCCGAGAACCTCAGCAACCTCAGGTGAGCCCAAGCCCGCCCCCCCAGCCTGCCGCAGAGCCAGAGCCCAGCTGCGGTCAGGGACCCTGGGTTTGAGCCTGGCCTTGTCACTATATTTTAAGAAATACTTCTGCAAATGCAGCTTTGATGGATTAGTCATTTACATATATATATATACACATACCTTTTTTTTTTTTTTTTTTTTTTTTGAGACAGGGTCTCACGCTGTCGCCCAAGCTGGAGTGTAGTGGTGCAATCTCAGCTCACTACAACCTCCGCCTGCTGGGTTCAAGCAATTCTCCTGCCTCAGCCTCCTGAGTAGCTAGGACTACAGGCACCTGCCACCACACCCGGCTAAGTTTTGTATTTTTAGTAGAGATGGGGTTTCACCATGTTGGTCAGGCTGGTCTCGAACTTCTGATCTCAGGTGATCCACTCGCCTCAGTCTCCCAGAGTGCTGGGATTACAGGCGTGAGGCACTGCACCCAGCCGAATTAGTCACATACATATTTTTATGTAAAGCACTGAAGTGAATGAGACCTTGAACTTTTGAAGCCATACTGCCTGACTTCGCATGCCACCTCGGGGCAGGCCACTCGGCGTCATCATCTGAAAAATGCAGACTGTAACAGTCCCTACCCTGTAGGGTGGCTTCGAGGACTCAACTTGGCTCAGTGCCGGCCGCAGGGTTGGCGCTCAGCGGATAAGCTGCTTTAACTGTAACAATGTTAAGACCATTCTGGGCGGTGTCTTTCACACTCTTTGGAAACCCTGAGCTGGAGAATTCTCAGGGCTGGGTGTGTTCTGCCCCTGGCCTAAGCCTACCTCTGCCCTTAGGTACCTGATGAAGTTCCTGGCACGGCTGGCCGAGGAGCAGGAGGTGAACAAGATGACACCCAGCAACATCGCCATAGTCCTGGGACCCAACTTGCTGTGGCCACCTGAGAAAGAAGGGTGAGGGGCCGTGGGCTGGGGGAGGTGGAAGGAGGAAGGCAGATCCCACCCCAGCCATCTGTTGTCTTATTTTTCCCCTGGGCCTCGGTGTCCCCATTTTTGGAGTGGGTTAAGCAGCTCCTGTTTTTGTGGCTGCCGTGAAGAACAGACCGAAGGGGCCGTGCAGGCCACAGGGCTTTGGAGAGAGGCATTCTGGCATTCTGGCCAGTGGTGGTGATGAGATGTTTAGTGGCATGGGAAGCTGGGAGCCCAGAGATCGGGTATGGGTTTTTTGTTTTGTTTTGTTTTTTGTTTTTATTTTTTTTTTGAGACAGAGTTTCACTCTTGTTGCCCAGGCTGGAGTGCAGTGGCACAATCTCTGCTCACTGCAACCTCTGCCTCCCCAGTTCAAGCGATTCTCCTGCCTCAGTCTCCCAAGTAGCTGGGACTACAGGTGCGCACCACCACTCCTGGCTAATTTTTTGTATTTTTAGTAGAGACGGGATTTCACCGTGTTAGCTAGGGTGGTCTCGATCTCCTGACCTCGTGATCCACCAGCCTTGGCCTCCCAAAGTGCTGGGATTACAGGTGTGAGCCACCGTGTCCGGCTCAATCAGGTTCTGTTAATAGCTCCACCCCTGGCCGGGCGCGGTGGCTCAAGCCCGTAATCCCAGCACTTTGGGAGGCCGAGACGGGCGAATCACGAGGTCAGGATATCGAGACCATCCTGGCAAACACTGTGAAACCCCGTCTCTACTAAAAATACAAAAAAATTAGCACGCTGTGAAACCCCGTCTCCACTAAAAATACAAAAAAATTAGCTGGGCGTGGTGGCGGGCGCCTGTAGTCCCAGCTACTCAGGAGGCTGAGGCAGGAGAATGGCATGAACCCAGGGGGCGGAGCTTGCAATGAGCGAAGATTGTGCCACTGCACTCCAGCCTGGGCGACAGAGCGAGACTCCATCTCAAAAAAAAAAAAAAAATGAAGAAACAGGCCGGGCATGGCGGCTCATGCCTGTAATCCCAGCACTTTGGGAGGCCGAGGTAGGTGGATCACCTGAGGTTGGGAGTTTGAGACCAGCCTGGCCAACATGGTGAAACTCCGTCTCTACTAAAAATACAAAAATTACCTGAGCGTGGTGGTACGTGCCTGTAATCCCAGCTACTCAGGAGGCTGAGGCAGGAGAATTGCTTGAACCCAGGAGGTAGAGGTTGCAGTGAGCCCAGATTACGCCACTGCACTCTAACCTGGGTGACAGAGCAGGACTCCGTCTCAAAAAAAAAAAAGAAGAAATAATAAAAAGTGTAAAGTGCAGTGCTATGTGAGGAGTCATCATTATTTACCTGGCCATAGATGGCAAGATTTTCTCCCACGTGCTGATTGCATTTGTTTGGTAGAGGCTGTCTAGATGACAACCATGAGGGAAAGAGTCCTTGATTAATTAGTGGTGTCTGTCAGGGTGAGGAAAGGGGGACATTTGGCACGTGAGTGACACATTTACCATCAACTGGTGGTTTGTGGGCTTTTTGAGAACAAGGACTCAATATGATGGATCCTCGTGTCTCCACTGCCCAGCACAGGACCAGACAGAGAGTTGGGGTCACAAACCCTTTGCTAAGCAGATGCATCTCTTTGTCCCAGGGACCAGGCCCAGCTGGATGCGGCTTCCGTGTCTTCCATCCAGGTGGTGGGTGTCGTCGAGGCGCTGATCCAGAGTGCAGACACCCTCTTCCCTGGAGGTGAAGCTCCTGCCTGCATGGATCCCCTGCTGGGTGCCCTCCTTCTGTCCTGCTCCCTCCCCTGCAGCCCCACAAACTCACCATGAGTCCAGGAGGAAGTCTGAGCCTCAGTTTCTCATTTCTACAATGGGGATGGTCTGCCTGCTTTGTGGGGTTGTGATGAGACCCACACGGGAGTGGGGAAGCTGAGCATGGTCCACATGGGTTCAGGGGAAGGGGGAATGGTCTCATCACAGCCAGTGGAGTGAGGAGTCTGGCACAGTCTCTGAGAGCCGTCTCCGCTCCTTCTGTCTCCAGACATCAACTTCAACATGTCAGGCCTCTTCTCAGCTGTTACCCTCCAGGACACGGTCAGTGACAGGCTGGCCTCTGAGGAACTTCCACCCACTGCTGTGCCCACCCCAACCACCACCCCGGCTCCGGCTCCAGCTCCAGTTCCAGCCCCAGCCTTGGCCTCAGCAGCTACCAAGGAAAGGTGAGGACTGAGGGGCATGAATGGCTCCTGTGGTGGTCCCACAGACAGTCTGCCTGAGGCACCATGTCTCAGAGCTGGAAGCTGAATTTTTAGAAATGTAATTATTAGTGTTTTCATCCCAAAGACCAGATCTCCTAGTTTGGAGAGGGTGGGGCGGAGACTCAGAGACAGTATTTGTCTCAGCCACTGATGTGTGCCCTGTTCATCATGTGGCAATTTCCTGAGCACCTACTGTGTACCAGGCTTTGTGTCCAATTCTAGGGAACTTGAGAGATGATCATTTTGGAATCTGTAAATACCTTCCAGAGTTGTTTTGTTTTGTTTTGTTTAAGACAGAGTCTCACTTTGTCGCCCAGGCCGGAGTGCAGTGGCACAATCTTGGCTCACTGCAACCTGTGCCTCCCAGGTTCAAGTGATTCTCATGCCTCAGCCTCCCAAGTAACTGGGATTACTTGGGAGACAGGTGCCACCACACCTGTCTAATTTTTGTATGTTAAGTAGAGACGGGGTTTCACCATGTTGGCCAGGCTGGTCTTGAACTCCTGGCCTCAAATGATCCACCCACCTTGGTCCCTGAAAGTGTTGGGATTACAGGTGTGAGCCACTGCACCCGGCCTCTTTTTTTGTTGTTGTTTATTTTTTTGAGACGGAGTTCGCTCTGTTGCCTAGGCTGGGGTGCAGTGGCGAGATCTTGGCTCACGTGCAGCTTCCACCTCCTGGGTTCAAGCAATTCTCCTGCCTCAGCCTCCTGAATAGCTGGGACTTCAGGCATGCACCACCACAGCTGGCTAATTTTTGTATTTGCAGTAGAGACAGGGTTACCCCATGTTGGCCAGGCTGGTTTTGAACTCCTGGCCTCAAGCAATCCGCCTGCCTCAGCCCCCCAAAGTGCTGGGATTACAGGGATGAGCCACCATGCTTGGCTGCAGTCTTCTCTTTGATCATTTAAATCTGGAAGGGCTTTGTGGTACCGTGGTGCCTCCATACCAAGCAGCTGCTGTTCAGGGTACCACAGAGCACTGCGCTCACACCTTGAATTTCCTGATGAGCAAGACAAATGCTCACATTCCAGGGCACAGGGAGAGACAGACAGCATCGAGCACAGCCACCAGCACAGCCACCGGTGCGTTCTCTCTATAGTGTCAGGTGGAGAGGCGCTGCCAAGGGAGGGGAAGCAGGATAAGGGAGAGCGCAGGGGGCTACTTTAGCTGTGGGGCCAGGAAAGGCCTCCCTGAGGAAGAGACGACCAAGCAGAGACCCGAAGGCAGTGAGGAATGAGCCTGGGACCCCCTCTGCTTCTCACCTGCACTCTGGCTTCCAGAGGCCAAAGCATCTCATAAAGATGGTGTGGAGACAGACTGGGCAACATAGCAAGACTGTGTCTCTACAAAAAATAAATGAGGTCGTTGTGATGGTACACACCTGTGGTCCCAGCTACCCAGGAGGCTATGGTGGGAGAATTTCTTGAGCCTAGGAGGTCGAGGCTACAGTGAGCAATGATGGTGCCATTGCACCCAGCCTGGGCGACAGAGTGAGATCCTGTCTCACAAAGAAATGACCAGGTGTGGTGGCTCACGCCTGTAATCCCAGCACTTTTGGAGGCCAAGGCAGGTGGATCACTTGAGGTCAGGAGTTTGAGACCAGCCTGGCCAACATGGTGAAATCCCATCTCTACTAAAAATGCAAAAAATTAGCCAAGCATGATAGCACACACCTGTAATCCCAGCTACTCGGGAGGTTGAGGCAGGAGAATGACTTGAACCAGGGAGGCGGAGGTTGTGGTGAGCCAAGATCATGCCATTGCACTCCACCCTGGGCAACAAGAGTGAAACTCTGTCTCAAAAAAAAAAAGAAGGAAAGAAAAAGAAATGGCCGGGTGTGGTGGCTCACACCTATAATCCCAGCAGTTTGGGAGGCTGAGGCAGGTGGATCACTTGAAGTCAGGAGTTTGAGACCAGCCTGGCCAACATGGTGAAACCCCATCTCTACTAAAAATGTAAAAAATTAGCAGGGCATGGTGGCATGCACCTGTAATCTCAGCTACTCGGGAGGCTGAGACAGGAGAATCCCATGAACCCAGGAGGCGGAGGTTGCAGTGAGCCAAGATTGTGCCATTGCACTCCAGCCTGAGCGACAGAGCGAGACTTCTCAACAACAACAAAACAAGGCTAGGTGGTGTACACCTGTAATCCCAGCACTTTGGGAGGCAAAGGTGGACAGAAGTTCACTTGAGGCAAGGAGTTCAAGACCAACATGACAAAACCCCATCTCTACTACAAAAAAAAAAAAAAAAAAAGCCAGGCATGGTGGTGTGTGCCTATAATCCCAGCTACTCCAGAGGCTGAGGCAGGAGAATTGCTTGAACTTTGGAGGTGGAGGCTGCAGTGAGCTGAGATCACGCCATTGCACTCCAGCCTGGGCGACAAAGCAAGACTCTGTCTCAAGAAAAAAAAAGCACAAGGAAGCCTTGAGCTGGGGCAGAGTTCAGGCCCTATGTCCCACCTCCCATCCTGTCCCCATCCTGGCCCTACCTGCCAGGCAGGTGGGACTCCCTCCTGGTCCCTGGAGGAACATGGACTCTGTCACAGGGTCACAAAGCAGCCAGGGCCTCAGTGGATGGTGGGGACAGGCTGATAGTGCTGGGAGGATCCAGACTCCACCTGGCAGCTGGAGACTTGCCAGGATTCCATGAGACTTCTGGGAGGTGACCAAGTCTGCCCCATCCTCTCCTTCCCTCTGCAGGACAGAGTCTGAGGTACCCCCCAGACCAGCCTCCCCCAAGGTCACCAGGAGCCCCCCGGAGACAGCTGCCCCGGTGGAGGATATGGCTCGGAGGAGTGAGTTGGCTGTGGGAGGGGAGGAGGGGACAGAGGGTGGACGGGGAGAGGGGACAGGCAGTCCCAGGTCCTCCTATCTTTTTAGGCAGCCAGGGGAGGCCAGGAACCAAGGTGATAAAAAGCCCAGGTTGTGCCACCTGGCACTCTGGGTTTAGGTTTGAGCTCTTTGACCTTGGGCAGGTGAGTTCACCTGTCTGAGCCTCACCTTCCTCCTCTGTGTAATGGGACAGTGTCTGCACTTACCTTATGGGGCTCCACGGAGCCTTCAGTGGTGCTGCTAGAAGAGTGCCTGGCCCTGGCATACAGCAAATGCCCACTAAAGGGGAGCCGGCGTGAGTGCTAGGGTACTGGAGTCCCGTCCCTCCAGAGGCCCAAAAGTCACAGATTACAGTGGAAGGAGAGAGTCATTAAAGGGCAGTGAAGGGGCGAGGCACAGTAGCTCACACATGTAAACCTAGCACTTTGGGAGGCTAAGGCGGGTGGATCACTTGAGGCCAGGAGTTCAAGACCAGCCTGGCCAACATGGTGAAACCTCATCTCTACTAAAAATACAAAAATTAGCTGGGCATGGTGGCGGGTGCCTATAATCCCAGATACTTAGGAAGCTGAGGCAGGAGAATCACTTGAACCCGGGAGGTGGAAGTTGCAGTGAGCAACGATCACGCCACTGCACTCACAAGAGTGAGACTCTGTCTCAAAAAAAAAAAGGGCAGTGGCAGTGAAGGAGAGGAGGTGGCAGGGATGGGAAGAAACCAGGGGCCTCCTGAGCCCTTCTGGCACCCTCACCTGTCAATTTGACCCAGAGCCGGCCAGGTGAGAGAGTGACTGACACCTTCGGGTGGCCCTGCCCAGCCCCAGAGGCAGTGGAGGCAGTGGACAGCCAGGAGTAGGCGGAACAGCTCTGGGAGCCTTGTGACCAGGGCTGGCAGGGAGTCTACAGTAAAATAAAAATGAATAAGATAGGCCGGGGACGGTGGCTTACGCCTGCCATCCCAGCACTTTGAGAGGCCGAGGCAGGAGACTCGCTTGAGCCCTGGAGTGCAAGACCAGCCTGGGCAATACAGTGAGACCCTGTCTCAAAATTTAAGAATTTTTAAAATTAGAAATAAATGGACAAGATAATTTCAGAGGACAAAAACTCCTGCAAAGAAAATAAAACTGGAAAATGTGACGGAGCAGCTCGGGTGGGGCACAGGGTGGGGCTCTAACTAGGGTGCTCAGGGACAGCTTCCAAGGGGGCGAAGGGCACAAGGAGAGGCCTAGATGATGAAGAGCCAGCCGCGGAAATGGTGTTCCCGGCAGAGGGAATGGCAGATGCAAAGGGTGTGAGGGGGCACGGAGCTTGGTGGATTCACCACAGGGCACGTGGACGCTCAACATCCCTCACCCTTTCCTTCCTCAACAGCCAAGCGCCCAGCACCAGCCCGGCCCACCATGCCGCCCCCCCAGGTCTCCGGCTCCCGTTCCTCCCCTCCAGCCCCACCCCTGCCCCCTGGCTCTGGAAGCCCTGGGACCCCCCGAGCCCTGCCCCGACGTCTGGTTGGCAGCAGCCTCCGAGCCCCCACGGTGCCACCCCCATTACCCCCCACACCCCCTCAGCCTGCCCGGCGCCAAAGCCGGCGTTCACCAGCCTCCCCCAGCCCAGCCTCCCCAGGTCCAGCCTCCCCCAGCCCGGCCTCCCCAGGTCCAGCCTCCCCCAGCCCAGTCTCTCTGAGTACCCCTGCACAGGTGGACCTGGGGGCTGCCACAGCAGAGGGAGGAGCCCCTGAGGCTGTCGGTGGGGTCCCCACTACCCCAGCTATCCCCCCTCAGCCCCGCCCCAGGAGCCTTGCCTCAGAGACTAACTGAGTGGCTGGTTTCTCCCTAAGCAGCCCCCAGCATCCCCTCCCTCCACACCTGGCCCTCCCAGGACAGCTCTCACCCCCCACAAAGGGGCGTGGGCCTCCAGCCTTTGCCCACAAGTGCCTTAGTGCCCACTGGGTCGGCCCCCATGGCCAGGAGGGCTCAGGACAGTCCCCCACTTCCTGACCTTTTCCTCATCCACCCTGGGCTTGGGGAGCCCCTGCTGGACTCTCCACTCTCCGGCAGGTCCTAGGGGAGCCACCGGAAGGAAGGAGAGGCTTCCCCGCTCCTAGGGGACCAATTCTTCTCTTGCCAACATATTTTTTGTAAGGCTGGTAAATAAATTATTTTGGACAAAACTGGAGCAGCTGCCCAAATGATAGTTTTATTTTCTGTTCTTGAAATAAAGAAGCCAATTTTATAAAGGCGAAAAAAATACATATTCTTTGCCTTTCTTCCTGTCTGAAATGAGATCACAGCAGACATGCAGACATTTTTAGAGCTTTCTCTGCACTACATGCTGTGCTTTTCTGTGGATGATTTCCACTTAATCTTCTCCTAGCGCAGTAAATACCATTACCTCTTACCAGTGAGGAGACTGAGGCTCAGACAGAAGTGACCTGCCAAGGTCACATGGCAGTCAGGCAGGGGCCTGGGATTAGAGCCTAGGTCTGACTTCAAAGCCTGGCTTGTCCCTCACATTCTGGACAATTCACTTTAACTTATTGGTATCCCTTTTCCTCATTTGTGAAACTTTGTAACAATTCCCTCCATGGAGGCATTGCTCTCCAGTGAAAACCAGAGCACCACCCTTGGCCTACCACTCCCACTGTTTCCTGGACCCCTCACTCCTTCTGGGAGGAGGCTGGGAAGGCTCCCCAAGGAGCAGGGATGGATCTATCCTCAAACCCTCCCTAAATCTGCTCTGTGCCAGGCCCTGAGCTAGCTCCCAGACTTAACTCTACCCAAAGAGTTCCTGAACAGACAGGCAGAAATGACCATTAGAATCAAGTGTCTGGCCAGGCACGGTGGCTCATGCCTGCAATCCCAACACTTTGGGAGCCCCAGGCAGAAGGATCGCTTGAGCCCAGGAGTTCTAGACCAGTCTGGGCAACATAGTGAGACCCTGTCTCTACAAAACAAATTTTAAAAATTAACTGGGCATAGTGGCGTGGGCCTGTAGTCTCAGCAACTAGGAAGGCTGAGGCACGAGGATCGCTTGAGCCAGGAGTTCGAGGCTTCAGTGGGCAGTGATCATGCCACTGCACTCCAGCCTGGGTGACAGTGTAAGACCCTGTCTCAAAAACAAAATCAAGTGTCATTGCACTGGGAGCCTATATTAGCCAAGTTAGGGGTGGCCATATAACCTAGACTCAGGTGTATGGGGTGGGTGGTTAAGGAAGCCTTCCTGGAGGAGGTGATTTTTTAAGGGAAGTCTTTCAGGAGCTGACCTGAAGGTGAATTTTTTTTATTTACTTTATTATTTATTTTTAATCTTTTTTGAGACAGAGTCTTACTCTGTCACCCAGGCTGGAGTGCAGTGTGCGATCTCAGCTCACTGCAAGCTCTGCCTCCCGGCTTCAAGCAATTCTCCTGCCTCAGTCTCCGAGTAGCTGGGATTACAGGTGCCCACCACCATGCCCGGCTAATTTTTTTTTTTTTTTTTTTTTTTTGTATTTTTAGTAGAGATGGGGTTTCACCATAGCCAGGATGGCCTCAATCTCCTGACCTCGTGGTCTGCCCATCTCAGCCTCCCAAAGTGCTGGGATTACAGGCGTGAGCCACCGAGCCTGGCCCTGAAGGTGAAATTTTTAAAGGAAAAAGGAACATTCAGGCTAAGGAGACTACCTATGTAAAGGTCAGGAGCAAAAGGCTTAGGGCACTTGGGGAGTAGGAGGTAGCTGAGCTTCAAAGGTTGGGTTACAAGGCACGGTTTTTCCCAAGTCTTTGGAGCTCCAGTTGTTCCTGGGGGTCACAGCCGCCTCTGAAATTGGCAAACAACTTCAAAACTATGACACCACAGCTCATAATTCATTCATCCCCACACTGCAGACCAGTGGCTCCTCAAAGGTCCCAAGACCTGTAGTTGCCTCCAGATCACAAGGCCCCCTCCCTAAGATAGGGACCCAGCCAACCTGGGTCACCCCATCACTATCCTGGGCAATTGGCCACGGCCACTCTGCCTCCTGCCTTCCTGGGGCGTGATCCGGTGACAGCCCGCCTGCCTCTAGCCCAGTGCTTCCCTACCCTAGCCTCACAGCAGAATCCCTGTAATTCAACCAACCAACCAAAAAATGCCCAGTCCTCACCCAAGACAGTTACACGAGAATCTGTCCTGCTACACATCGGTGATTTTAAAAGCATTTGTCAAAAGACATTGAACTGTACATTTAAGATCTATGCATTTTACTACATGTAAATGATATCTGAAAATAAGTTTCCAGGGGACTCTAACGCAGTGTGAAGAACCACTGGTCTAGACCGAGGACTCCAGCACCCAAGAAGACACCATGTGCTCCCTACCCCATCATACCCACACGTTTCTTGGGACTTCGCTCAGAACTGTAGCGTCCACGATTCAGAGGGCAATGAGATTTGACCCAAAGGCAGTTCATTTAGCATATGTTTTTCTCCTAGCAACCAGCTCGCCTAAGCTTCTGATTGGCTGGAGGCGCGGGGCCTTCGCTTCGCGTTTTGTTTGTAGATTCTTACTGGTTAAGAAGAGCGTCAGTCGCCCACCCCGTAAGAGTGTAGTCAGCGTTGAAACTCAGCGGCGACTGGCCCAGAAAACCAGGGACGGGGAGAGGGATCAGGCTAGCTCTTCATTGGTCCCTTCCCCTCGTTGTTGGCCACGATTCCGCCCCTTTCTCCAAGTTCCGCTCGCTCGCGGCCTAGCTTCTCTCCCAGACTCTCGCCCCCATTGGCCGCAGGCCACGCCGTCGCCCCGCCCCCGGTCCTTCCAGCGCGCCAATTGGCGGCTGCGGGGAACGTGCCAGGACAAGCGCGCCGTGCCCGCGGAGAGAGCGCGGCGCGGGAGGCCGGCGGCCAGCCGGCTGCATGGCGCGCTGCGAGAGGCTGCGCGGGGCGGCCCTGCGCGACGTGCTGGGCCGGGCGCAGGGGGTCCTGTTCGACTGTGACGGGGTGCTGTGGAACGGCGA